CACTGCCACTTCCTTGGCTTTTGGCCACTTGATCGCTTGTCTCCGCCCTGGCTCTCTTCTTTCCCCTCTACAACCTGGCCCTTGGTTATCAGGCCCAAATGATGTGCTCTCCGCTAGACCACCCTCAACAGGATCACTCTCCACAATTAGATCTCCTCCCTCTACTTCCTGCTCCCTCTCCTCAGCTGTGGATCCCTCAGCACTGTGGTGTGTAACCCGGCTCTGGAGGCCACTTGTCTTACCTGCAGCTTGTGCGGCAGTGCAATGCTGCTGGAGACTCTCTTCTACACACTTCATCTTTCCCTGATGGATCCGTAATCCTCTGAACGTGGTCTTCTTCTCCCACCCACACCTGCATTTCCTCAACCTCTTAGTCTCGTTGTCTATATTCGATCCAGTCGTTGCCGAGAAATCCGTCCGATTTGGCCCTTCTTCCATCCCGCCTCTCGGAGGGCCGCCGGGTTGTTTTCCTTTATGCGTTTTCGTAGTCAGGTTAAGGGTGTCCCCACGGGGACAAGTGGATTGGGTGACTAGCCTTCCACTCCCAGTGCAGACTTTCCTGCCGTCCGCCAGTCTTTCCTGGCCGCCAACTGCACTTTCACAGCAGTCACTGGAAACCAGATATTAGTTTAACATACAGGTAGATGGTGAAACCTGCAGGGCATTTCTGCCTGTCGCACCTCCACCGGTGCCTAAGAGATTGAGGTGTACTGCAGGTGTACATGCTGTGGAACACTACAAAGGGCATTAATGGGTCATCAGCTGGGGACCACCAGTCACGGATGTTTCGCTCCTTTAACCCCAGTACATCTCATGGTGGCGGAGCGATGGCAGGGATTTCTCCCTGCCACCCCCTGCTGATGCCCTAGATGGAGACTGGACCCCAATTCTTTGCCTTCCTTCTCAGCCACAGCCAGTAACTTCCTCTTTCAGCTTCTTCTGCCAGCTCTTTCATGGCTTTCCGGTGCCTTATACCTGTTGCACCCATGTCGCGGAGCAGACGAGAGGTTGAGGAGCCCACGAACCCCCGGCACCCCACCTCCACAGGGTATGTGACTGCCCTCCAACCAGCCTCCCTGCACTCTGCAGCCAGATCAGAGTATTTGGCCCGCTTCCGCTCATGGGCAGCTTCAAGTCCTCCTTCCCATGGGACTGTGAGCTCCACCATCAGGACCACCTTGCAAGCAGCAGACCACAGCACCAGATCTGGACGCAACGACGTTTCCACTATCTCCCTGGGAAACTGGAGCTGCTTCCCAAGGTCGACTGCTAGTGTCCACCCCTTGCCCGGTGTAAGGAGTCTTCCTGTGTCCTTCCGGTGGTGGGTGTTACCCCTCTCCCCAGCCCTCGCGAACTGGATGGAATGTGCGATTAGGGCCGGGGGCCTGCTATTCGCTTCCTGCCTACATGTTTCCACTACCTCAGCGAGCTTCTTCAGCACCAGGTCGTGCCTCCACCTGTAGCGCCCCTGTGCCAACGCTGTTTTGCAGCCAGACATGATGTGTTGGAAGCTCGCATTAGCAGTGCTGCACAGGAGGCAAGATTCCTCATTGCCGAACCATCGGTGGAGGTTGCGGGGGCAAGGTAAGGTGTCATATGCTGCTCTGACAAGAAAACTTAGCCTGGCCTGAGGAATCTTCCATACATCAGACCAAGCCAGCTGCCTGTCTAGAACGCCTTCCCACGACAGCCAGCCTCCCTGTTGGCCCTGGGACACTGCTTTGATGGTAAGCCTCTCGTGTTCAGCTCTCATCACCTCTGCTGCCACCATTGCCTTCCTCTCTTCTTTGGATGCATTCGACCAGAAGAGGGGGGCCTGTCCCCACCCGACGCCTGCCCGGCCGTCCTGTACTCTGCCAAGCACTTCCCTGTGTTGCAGCCTACTTATTGCCAGGTCCACTTCCTCCTTGGCCCTCCATTTCCTCCCGGTTAGAACCTGGGCATCCGCAGCTCTCACCAGAGGGTCAGTGGACTCTCTTAGTTCCATGATCAACCGCACCTTCTCCTGTTTATATCCCCCGCTGATGGAACGTAGGGGCAGCTGAAGCTTGGTCTTGCCAAAGAGACCTACATCAGAAAGGCATCTTGGTAGCCCGAGCCATTTCCTTATGTACGAGTTTGCCAAACTATCCAACTTGCACACTGTGGAGGAGGGAACTTCACTCATCTTGAGTGGCCACATTATTCTTTGGTACAGTGTGAATTGGTAACACCACACCTTGTATTTGCCTGGGAGCTGACTGAGGTTGATCCTGGAAAGGCCATCTGCCAACTGCTTCTTCACGGCGTTCCCCATCTGTTTATCCGTAAGGTCTGCAGAGTAAGTTCGGCCGAGGCTCCGGACAGGCTGGCTTGACAACAAGGGGATTTCCTCACCGCCAGCGCTAAAGATGGTGCGGTCACTCCTGACCCCTTTCTGAAGGGACAAGCTTCGTGACTTTGAGGGTTTGATTCTCATTCTTGCCCACTCCACAAGTTCGTCAAACCTCTTGAGCAGTCTCACAGTGCATGGAGCTGTCTGGAGAATGGTGGTAACGTCATCCATGTACCCTCTCAGTGGGGGTAGCCTTTGGCCTGATGGCAACTTCACTCCTCCAACCACCTGCCTTGCCCCAATGAGGATGATCTCAAATGCTGCTACAAACAAAATTGGGGAGATTGAGCACCCCATGGCAATGCCAACTTCAAGTCGTTGCCACTTTGTGGTGAAGTCTTCGTGTGTGCAGCATATCTGGATGTCCTCAAAGTATCTGGATATCAATACTTTACAGGGATCAGGGATATAGAAGAAGTCCAGGGCGTATGTAATAAGTTGGTGGGGAACAGACCCGTAGGCGTTGGCAAGATCTAACCAGACGACATGCAGATCGCCCTTCTCCCTCTTCGCCCTCTGAATCTGTTCCCATATCACCGAGGAATGTTCAACACACCCTGGAAAGCCTGGTATGCCCGCCTTCTGACAGCTGGTGTCTATAAATCCGTTACGCGTAAGAAACGAGGTCATCCTCTTGGCCATGATGGAAAAGAATATCTTTCCTTCTACGTTTAGAAGGGCTATGTTCCTAAACTGGTCGATATCCTTTGAGTCTTGCTCCTTGGGAATGAGGACAGACAGGGCTCTCCGCCACTCTACGGGGACAACTTCTTTTTTCCATGCTGCTCCTAGGAGTTTCCACAGGATCCTCTGCACACCGGGACAATGCTTGTACAGTTTGTAGGGTATTCCATTGGGGCCTGGTGCTGAGGCGGCTCTAGCCTTCCGAATGATATCTGCGACCTCACTGAGTTTCGGGGGTGCAGTATTAAAGGGCACAGCTGGGGGGGCTGGGCGAGGAACATACCCCGGGGAACCCAGAGGAATCAGTCTATCAGCATCACTGAGCTGCTGACTGAAATGCCTTTCCAGCTCCTCCTTTGTTGTCTCCAACTTCCCACTCCTCCTATCCTCCAGCAGCTGCCTTGCATGCTTGAAGGGATTCTTGAAGAAATCACTCCTCTCTTTCTCCTTTCGTTTCCTGCGCTTACGAATGCGCTCAGCCCTTCGCAAGCCAGCCAGGCTCTCCTTCACGTCTTTCCACAGTGATTTCAGACCTTCTTTTTTATATTGCACCCCATAAACACAATCATGCAAAGAAAAAAAGCAGAAAAAAAAGCAACAAATTAGTTCACAGTGTACTAAGATAATTTAAATCTCATTTACTAGTAATGAAGGTGTTGCTGCTACTGTTCCCTGGATGTGGGTCTGGAAGAGCTGAACCCAGGGATGCCCTTCACAACAGGTCAATTCACATTCAACCCAAGGGTCCTTTTTCTTGGTTGCTTTTAAACAGACAATCATTTATTTAACAGTGCCTTTTTAAAAGAGACTATAGGCCTATAATAGGCCTAGTAAATATTACCATTATGTAGAATATTTTTTGTTCTTTACTTTCACCATGTTCACTAGTGTGGTGACTCTGACATGACAATGAACAAAGTAATTATGAAATTATTGAAATACAAAAAAAATAAATAAAATAATAATAATGAGTTATTAAAACATCTAACATGGCCACCACAAACGCATTTAATCTGTCTGTTACTTTTACCAGCCCTCTCTCCTGCCTTTTACACACTTAAAAATTCGGCATAAACTTGGCTTTCATTAAAAGCTCATGTTCTGCTTGGGAGAAAAACTTCTTTGGCCATTCTGAACAGCCAATAGAAGCGCTGCTGATCAATCGATAGCCTACATATCCCCTTTTAAACCAACGCATGAACGCGCAGTTATCTCAGATAACTCAATCCAGCAATTCTAATCATAAACAACAGGAGTGTTCGAAGAACCCAATTAGCTCATGATTAATCATGATTAGCACGATTATATTATCTTGGATGTCTCATTTGATCTCGGATGCTTTAAGCAACCTACAAAAAACGGGCCCCTGTAATGTGGTGGTTGTAGGATATCAAAAGTCCAAACAAAGTGTATTAACGTTCAATGATGACTGAAACCAATCGAATCTTTTCAATGAATCATTGAAACAAACAGTTCGATAGAAGCGATTCGTTAAAATGACTCAAAATTCCCCTGCTATGACATGAAAGTGGCACCTCTTTAAAATCACCCTTGCTTAAACAATCATTACTTCCTGCTTAGCCTGTAAATTGTATGTATGCATGTAGTAGGGCTATCAAATTTCTTTGTCATCCTTCCCCCAAAAAGTCCTCAGAGTGTGTAAAACCCGGACTGGAAAAACTAAAGACCCTCTGTGGTGTAAAGCAAGTTTTGAATATTATACTGTATGTCTATGTTGTGTTTTTAATTTGCTTCAAGACAAATCATGTCCAAATTACTGTAATCAGACAAACACACCATTGCCAATTCTCTTAAATCTGTAACCTGCAGTCTTCAAAGTGAAAGGATTAGTTTGACTTGAGGCACTTTGTGAACATTAATATCTGGCAATGGTATCCTGCCTCTCTGAGTGACGGAGTGGAACCCCAAATGATAAAATGCATAATTCATTATCAGTTTTATTATGAATTGATAAAACTAGCAAACATAGTCAATGTTAAAATTACAGAAAATATAGTCCTGACATGGCTTTCTTTCTCAGTATCATGGCATCATTATAAACAGTTCATAGATGATGATATACACTGCTGTGAAAATAAGCTTCACAAAGATGAAGAACAGGAATTGCTTGTTTCCAGTCAGTCTATTGAAGTCAAATTCAGTCCTTCTTTTCTCTTGATAAAGAAATGTGAGCAAAACCGTTACACGTTTGAAATGAGTGATGCTTTGCTGTCTTTTTCTTGCATTGGTTTCTGACATGCTTTTCACCATACATTGAAAACGTTAATGCATGTAAACACAATTGTCATTTACTATAAAATAATTCAGTAAATAAAACTGATTGACATCATTGCACATATTTTTGAAAAGAAAAAGCTTTTAAAAAATGCTTTAAATATAATTCACAGTGAATCTCAAATGTTTCAACCCTGTTTAACAAGACTAAAACAAAATAATAATCAACCAAAAAGAAGAAAATATTCATTTTCTATGATGCTCAGAAGTATCGCAAAAAAAATTAAATACATACAGTCAGACTTAGTCTGTGTATTTGAAGTATTCACAGTGCATGTGTATATTACACATAATTATAACATTACACATCAACATTAAAAAAAATGGCCAGTTTTATTAAAATAAATCAAACACACATAGCCACTCAAGAGACAAGACTGATGTCAAAAAGATGTCAGTAAGACTGGCTTCATAAGTCAGCGAAAACAACATACACGATTATACTGTAAGTGCTGAATTTGGTTTGGAATTACTTTTTACATCATTTACTGTAAATTTAACTGTAACCATTCAATTTCACTGGGATTGAGTTGCATTGTGGAATGTTAAAGCTTGATGTGCTCATATGACACACTATAGCAATATGTGAAAGTATCTGTTTTGAACATAATCTTTAGTCACCAAATATAAAAGCTTTTCCTTCTCTCTCTCTCTCTCTCTCTCTCTCTCTCTCTCACACACTCACACACATTCACAATCCTATATTACCCAGATGGCCTGTTCTATAGCTCAAGGTCTTTGTGCACTTCCTGTGTCGATATCAGCACACGCAACTGTTCGCTCATGTCCACTCGGAGCACATCTTCATTGGCCTCTTAGATATCTACAAACTCTGACACGGTTCAAACTCTTCACTGAATGACACGGTTTGCAGCTCTGATCAATAATTCACTACAGAAGCTGATCGGATATACAGCGCTACAAACGAGTTGGCGAGTACCTCAGCGTCAGCTTGGCTAAATCAGTTCTCTAAGGTACTGTCTAAGGTTGCTGTCAAGGGCTCGCGCTAGACTTTCTTCTGAGCATTTAATATACTATCATAGACAGAGCTGGTGAGGGGAATGTAGCTTTTCTCTGTGTAGTCCAGGAAGAAGAGCGGGTCGGTGATGGTGGACGGGTTGAAGCCACTCTCCACCAGACCGAACTTCTGCTGCTTGAACGTGCTGGTCATCTCCATAGACTCCTACAGACGCAAACCACATGACACACTGACCATGAGAAAGCCTCAGTCCAGAAGGCAGAGGTGGACATGATTGTGATGAAGTGCAGCTACATAATGAAACTGATTGGGTGCATGAGAAAGTCCAGAAGTCTCAATCTAGACTTCTAAAGGCAGTTTCCACTCAGTATTAAAGGGTAATGAAACTCTGAACTGTGTTAAAATCTCAGAAAATATAGTTTAGTGTACTATAGGTGTAAGGAAACATAATCAACCTTCAAATCTACCTTCATGGCTTTGTTTTAATGTAAGTCTGTGTATTTTATTATATTTTAATAAACATACATTACAAAAATATGATGACACTGATTATTGGTTTATTGCATGTTACACCCAAAACACACCCATTAGTCATTAGTAGAATAGGGACAACCCTTTTAGACCATACGAGACTCAGAGATGAGACTCTGATTGGTTTATTGCATGTTACGCCCAAAACACACCCATTACTCATTAGGAGAATAGGGACAACCCATTTAGACCATACGCCAGAAGCGCCGACTATTTTCCCCGTCACACAGTCACTCAGACTCACACAGTCACACTTACACAGTCACTCAGACTCACACACAGTCACTCACACTCGCACAGTCAGTCACACTCGCACAGACTTGCACAGTCAGTCACACTCGCAGTCAGTCAGACTCACACAGTCACTAAGACTCGCACAGTCAGTCAGACTCACAGTCACTCAGACTCGCACAGTCACTCACATGGTCAGTCACACTCGCAGTCACTCAGACTCGCACAGTCACACTCACACAGTCACTCAGACTAGCACAGTCACACTCGCACAACACTCGCACAGTCACTCAGACTCGCACAGTCACTCACATGGTCAGTCACACTCGCAGTCACTCAGACTTGCACAGTCACACTCACACAGTCACTCAGACTAGCACAGTCACACTCGCACAACACTCGCACAGTCACTCAGACTCGCAGTCACACTCACACAGTCACTGAGACTCACACAGTCACTCAGACTCAGTTACTCAGACTCACACAGTCACACTTGCACAGTCAGTCACACTCGCACAGTCACTCAGACTCGCAGTCACTCAGACTCACAGTTACACTCATACACACTCATACACTCATACTCATACAGTCAGTCAGACTAGCACAGTCACACCAGGCAGCAACCTCTCTGTCTATCTCTTGAAACCAACACAGAAGTTAATTAAACGGCAATTCAAAGACTGACCACTTGAGGCAGGCTGCAAAAGTGACCAAAAAGGGGTTTTGGTCTTTATAGCTTATTTTGCCCTTCATGACAACTGTGAGGGGGTGAATTTTTTTACAACTCATCTGTTTAAATTATATTAAGCCTGTATAATTAAGGGCGTGGCCACTTGAGTGAGAGGTGGATTGTGGCCGTTTGGCTGCTATCTGTCTGCGTCACTCTCAGCAAATTCCAGCAGCTGCTATACTTGCCATCTCTGCCGTCTTTTTTCGGGATTATTTCATACAATTTAACACACGCATTTTACCTCCGCCCACGCCATTGGATTCCGTTGTTGTCGAGTATGGAGAGAATAACCAGCGCTATATTTCTAGTTGTTTTCCTCGCATGCACTAACATTAATGGATGTCTGACAATTTCCTTGCTAAAAACGTCTATAGATACAGTATAGAGACCACACTCCTTATGCAGTACTGTTGCTCTCACGGAACAGATATGCTTATTTAACTTTGTGTTAATAAAAAGTACAGTGAGATTAAATCCTTCAGGTGTCAGTATTTCTCTCCGATTTCTAGTGCATTTACTTGAACTTCTGAGGTAATATCTTTGGTTTAACCCATTTGAAAAATTGGGAGGCGGCCAATTTTAAAATGGACTGAATAAAGCTCTGTACTTGACGTGAGATGCCATGCTGGATGACATGTATGTGCATGAATCACTGTCACACGCACAAGCTCAGAGCAATATTGTAAGTTACTGCATGATAATATTTTTTATAGCAGAATAATAATAATACATCACGATACCCAGTCTCACTATAATAATATTTAAATATAACTATACTAACTATAATTTAACTGTAATAATATTTTTAAAAAAACATGAACTATAACTATTGGCTTTAATTCTTCAATCAGCTGTCACTTTAATGCGAGGCCAGTAGCTCCACCCATGCCTTTTTGCCCATTTTATATTATCAGGTAGTGACACAAAAGCCCCGCCCACTTTAGGCTTAAAAAAAATGCTCTTCAGAAACCTACGGGTGATGTCACGGACACTAAGTCCACGTCCAGTCTATGAGTCACACTCACAGTCATTCAGACTCGCACAGTGAGAATCACAAACAATCACTCAGTCAGACTCATATAGTGACAGTCAAAATCACAGGGGTGGTGGGACATGTCCCCACCACTTTTTGACAGGGTCGATTTTGTCCCCACCACTTTTGAAACATCTCGCGGCACAGATGTACCAATACAAATAAAACATCTCCAGTTAACAGCATCCGTTTCATTTGTTTGTTAAATAACAGGCGATCTAGCACTGAAATGTGTTGTCTTCTCTCGGAAACGCGCTTCAATCCGTTGCGGAGATTCGTTCCGGTGAAATCACAAATCAAAATGCACACAAACGTGTCCCTTTTTCTCATGGGTTCTAATCCGCTCTCGTATATTTTTTTCCCCCACATCAAAACATATACAACCACTGATAAACATTATATCAATTCAACCACTGATAAACATTATTGTTTTTGATGAGGGGGAAAAAAAAAACTATTCGAGTGCGGAATTAGAACCTCAAACCCCCTGAGTCTCGACACGCTAGGCAAAAATTCTACCTCTGGACCATCATTTTACATATACAATCAAGGCCGTATATATTCTATATACTCACTATACTCGGACATTGTGCTCATTTTTATTTATGTACATCAGGAAGCTACAGGACATCGTCTTTCAAAACATGACCTACTCGAAAGAGAAAAAAAGAATGAATGCGTTATTGTACCCAGCACTTTTGAAAATGCCCTTCCGAATGCGTCTCTGTCCCCAGCACATTTCAAACCAAACTTACGCCCATGTGTATAAGTCTATCTTTGGTCTCATTAAACTATAGTTTGTTCCATGTCAAAAAAAAAAAATTGTATTTGAGGTTTCATAACTTGATGGCTATTTAACTTTAACAACATTTTTTATATTATCTTCACTATATGAACGATAAAATAAAATGACATAACCCTGTCTCTGTTTGATAAATGTCAATAAAAATCAATGTTTCATATTTTTAAAATGAAAACAAAAAGATCATGTTCATTTTGTTAATATAGGCTATGCAGTGAAGAGAATCGCGTTGCCTGAACCACATGACCATTAGGCTAATATTTTGATTTTTTTTAAAAGAGGCAGAGTGGTGTTTTATAACATATTTCGTTTTATTGTAGACGGAAAGATGCAGAGTTGTAGCATATTTCCTTTTATCGTTGCCTAAAATATACATAAAGAGTCTGAACTACCAAGGACGCAAGTCCGAACTTTGCGTACTTGGTATTGAGAAACGGCTATAGTGTATGTGAGGGTTTTGTCTGCTTCCTTGTTCTTGTCTGTCATGTGATCCTGCCATGTGTCTTGTCCCATGTTCAGCTGCTCCCCATTATGTGTTGATTAGTCTTCCCAAGTGTTTCAGTTTACCAAACCACCTTGTTATCTTGTTTAGCTTGTGTTCCCTTGTGTTTAATCCCTGTGTTTTAGTTTAGTCCTTGTGAGTTCTTGATGTTGTAATGTTTGTTGTAGTCTCCTTGTTCCCGTCCTGAGTTTCCTGTTCCGAGTGTTCTGTCGTGTACCCTGGTTTACCAGTTTGTTTGTTTATTAAAGTGCTTGCGATTTGATTCACTCTCCGCTTCATTCTTGCCGGCATCATTACAGAATGTGCATGTTCAACGCATTCTCATCCTTTAACGTCATATAGAACGCTATATGACAAAACGGCGCTATACTACGCACATGGCACCCGTTATCGTTAATATAACACGCGCTGTGAGGGCTAAGTTTAGGTGTGGGGTAGGGTGTGCGTGTCATATTCACGCTAAAGGATTTATAACGTCTTGGGTTCGCGTGTTATATTAAAGGAGCTAAACGCAAGTCTCTGAGTTTTTGCAGAACTACGCCCCCTCTGGCGACAAGCGAAACTGCAACCAGAGCTGTGCGCGTTCATGGAGGAACACACACACACATACGCACGTTTGCACGAGCTGTTCATAACTACGGAGCATCAGCCGCACACTGTGCGGCACACATCTTTTGTTACAGTCATAATGAGGTAATACAGTAATAAATCTGCAAGTCATTTATATGAAAGGAAAGGCATTCGAGTAAATTACACACTTGTGTGAGAGGGGGAAACGGGGGTAGTAGAAAACTTCGGTTTTTGTTTCCATCTATCTCCCTGTGCTTACTGTATCCACTTATGATTGAATTATTATGGAAACACGTTCAGTTATCACTTTGTATAGGCTATGACCCGTTTGAGCCCTAGAGACGACCGGAGATCTCTCCGTTTGTTGAAAGCTTCCCGATGTTGACTCTCGTCTTATTCCGACGCATGGCACTGGACAGACAGAAGTTTTATTTTCTGTCTCACGTAGAGTTTGCGTTGGGGTTTGTAATGAGCTACAAGCCGGTCTCTTTCCGCGCCATATACAGATTTAATGAAGTGCACGTCACCGAAAGCAACAGATATGAGCTGGATTTTATTAATCATCGGCTAATTTCAAAATCAGCAAAGACAGCAATAAGAGAGATCGGCAACAGAACTGGTAAGATCATTTCATTTCTTTACTTTTAATGAAGATGGTAGTGTTAAGCGTCTGCGACTTACTTTCACTAATTCACTTTGATTTGCGATAGATTGCGGCGCTTGATGAAGGGGCTCAGCTCAGCTGCTCAGGTGATGCGCGTCGTCATATATGACTAAAATATCATGACATATAGCTTGGTTTCAA